AATATAGTGGTCATAGTAGTCATGAGTCATAAGAATTAATTGTTAATCTCCACGTATTTTCAATGCTTTTTGCTCAGAAATATCACATTCAATAACAGCGCGATCGGGATGCGAACCCCGTCTTTTGGGGAATCGGAAATAAATAAATAAATGAACGGACCCAGAGAGAATGCTTCGATCCTATTGGCTTGCTGGACTGGTCCAGTATTCTCGACTGGCCCCCGCGTGATAGTTAAGTATATTGAGTCTAAACACACTGAAACCAGCTTGTAAAAGTTCAATTAAATTTCTTGAATTAATCTCGCTACCATGTTGTTAAAACCCAGAGGACGTGACCTCAGTGTCCTCGAAACCCAACATTTACCTCATCGAACAGTGACTGAAACTAAACTGTCCAACTTCCAACCCAATGAACCTCAACGAAAACAAGCTTCCTCATTAGATATCCTCATTAGGAAAGTGGACGCCTGGAAAAGCTCTTCCTCTCGACTGAAGAAGTGTCTCACTTTGACGCCTGGCAGACCGAGATTTCCTCACAAAACCATTTACCAGTGTTTCCGCTTCACCTTGTGTGTATGTGTGTGCGTGCATGTGCGTGTGAGGCTGAAATTACAGAGCAGTATGTGGTTAATTGAGTGGGGAGGCCTAATCTTTTTCCCCCTCTGTTTCTCACTGTCTGATCCTCCCAGGTTTGCTTGCAGCCAGTAGGAGCAGGCTTTTTCCATAACAAGTTTCCGACCCCGCTGAAAAACATCACCAGCTTTTCCTCTCTCTTCCGCTGTCTCTCTCTTTTTTAGCCTCTCAGCTCTGTCGGCTTCAAGGCCTTTAGCCTGCTGAGGGAAAAAACGGAGATAGTTGAATTAAAATCGGGGGATTCTGTCTTCTGTCCTCAGGATGTTTGGGAGCAGACAAAAAAGAAAAAAATCTAACGAGGTCTCATATGATCAGAAAAGTTGAATTACACATTTGGGCACTGTCCGCCTGGTTTCCTTCAAAAAGGAATTTGTGTGAGATTAATATCTGCATTAAAAAGAGTAAGTGAGGTTCTTGTCGGTTTGTGCATCAGTCAGTAGTGAGGGGGGAAAAAAATGCTTTGGATTGAGAATGAAATATTCATGAATCAAATTTGAATAAGCTAGAAAATAGACAGCTACCCAGATTTCTAGGTAGGCTGCTCAGCATAAGTATTCTGTTAAGTCTTTGCAGGGCTCCCTAAGTCCTCAATCCTGAGCTATTTTGGTGGTTGCTGAAAATGCACAGTGTCACTCACAGCTGATAGGAAAGCTCCCGAGCACCTTGTACTGACGAACCCCAGTTACAGGCTTTTGCTTTCTGCATATATTCAAATTAATTAATAAAATATCTGCGGCAAAAACACATCAGTAATTCCAATATGTTCACCAAAGGGTGGCTGCTGAATCTGACTCGAAAGAGAATTTTCCCTCAGGGATCAATAAAGTATTGCTGAAAGTATTTGTACTTTTTGCCCTCATTAAGTAGTTCACTTGTAAACCAATAGGTCTTGACAGTTGCTGCTGTATTGCGTCTCCCTATGACCTACTTTAACCCCCTGGGATTTCTTTTTTAGCCGTAACCACCACGTTTCATGTTTTTACAGTTTCTGGGGCTTCAGATTCAGACTTTTCAGCCAAAGGACGCATGTGAACTTATTCAGTCCTCGACATTCTCAAATGTTCAAAACGAAATCTGAAATACCACAAAGTAATGTGCAGTTTAATATAACAGAATCCTAGAAATCTTATTTCCCAGTACAATCTGAATATTCCAAACATCCTGCAAATGAACATCTGTTTTGAAAGAAGAATCTGTTGAAATATTCTGACTAAACACAATTTGAAAATAAAATAAAATGTAAATTACAGATGAAAATACTGAGAATGAAGAGTAAATTTCATTGGATGAGCTGTATGAAGAATCCTCTGAATATTTCCTCCTGAAATGTAGTGGCAGAAAATGTAAATGCTCAGTTTCGTAATGGCTCAAACCAGCATTCGTGTGACGTACATCACATCTGTTAAGTGCTGAGTCATGACAGTCGCTGCTGGTCGGTGTGAACAAAGGGGATTGTTCCACTTCACCTCTGACACCACTCCACTTAAAGATTATTTTCCTTGACACTAAACCAGTTACTGCAGATTAACAAAGAAGCAGACAAATAACAGAAGAAACAAGATCATCAATAGTAAAAGTTGACTTAAGGTCAGTAAATTACAGATAAAAACATGGATGTTTCGATAAAATGTTTGGGCAGGCCTACCTCAGTTTGTCATGGGAGCTCAAAACAATCTAGTTTTTCCTTAAATACTTTTTTTTGGATGAAAGTGATTGAAATTAAGCTTTACACATTAAATGAACTCTGAAAAAAACAACTAATTTCATTTACAGCACAAGAAATAAATCAAACAGTATTGAGCAATTAACCTTCATAACTTCAAGCATTGTTTTTATGTATCATCACAGTCCTTTAATCCCCTTTTACTAAATTGGCAACTTTCAAAAACTACAAAATAAAAAAACTGTGACAATGAATTTGTCATGTTTTTCATGTTTGAGCTGATTATTTATATATAAGCTGTAGATTGTATATAACAGCTGAGTTATTGTTTTTTTACTTGACATCCTCTCCTTCCATTCATCCATCATCTCTGTTGAGTAGATTTATTAGGACTTGGAGATTTAAACACACATTTCAGAGCATTTCTATCCGAGTACACAGTGTCATTTATTTGAGTTAGCTCATCTTGTACGTGGATGGAGTGCTTTTGGCATTCGAACGACCGTCCGCTGTGCAATGAACTCTTGACTTTATGCATTTACAACAGTGTTAATGTAAAAGTGGTACTTAAAATACCCCTAAAAGCACAAAAGGCACATTACCCCAAACCCCACATGTCTCAGATGAATTATCCTCAGTAGCCCTCACAGCCAGTTCTCCTTATCCAAAGCTCTTTCTTTCACCCTTTCCTCTGGGTGTTGTCTTTGAAAATTCAATAACTTACTCAGGCATGAACCCATAACGTCAAAACTTCAGGGCAACCATCCACTACTTTGAACCACTGGCTCATACTTTTTTGTCAAAACTTTTCAATCTCTACATAAGATGTTTGATTTCAAAGGACCCGGTCTATCTGGGTGGAAAAAGAGGCGTCAACCTTGAACTTTAAACCAAAAGTTTCATGACAAGTTTACTTTTTCAGCCCGTGGCCAGTTGTCGACTTTACTCAAACGACTTCACAGACCGTTATCATTTGAAACAATGAGTGGAAAACCAGTGTCTCTGGGTCGGACACTTCAGACAACAATTCGAGGATTTGCACTTTTTGCAAGATGCTGACAATCTGTGTTTTATTTGCAATCTGCCTGCTGGAGTTAACTCTCAAACTTTCAGCCGCTGAGTTATTACTTTACTATAACTCTTGTTTTCTGTGAGCTGTCAAATCTTTTGCTGACTGCTGATAAAACCACTTTTCTGAGTCTGTCTATTCCACTTTGGTCAGTTTAGTTCTGAGCTTGTTGTCTGAACATCTCTGGGTATTTGTTCATCAAGTAAAATGATGCTAACGATGTTCTAATAACTTAAAACAAAGAAATAATAAATAATTAAAAACAAAAAAAGTGGAATCAATAGCAACTACAGACGTGAAGTTTACCAGAACTGGAAACTATTGTATAATTTCACATTAACAAAAGATGATATAACCATGTGGAAGTTAGATAACTTTACTTCGCCAACACATGATTTTAACAACTTTTAGCTCTTTCTTCATTTTATTTTGAAACCGTCTTCCTGCCTCTCCGTCTGACTCATGTTGGGATAAGCTCCAACCTCCTGTGACCCTGAGCAAAAAGTGAGCAAACACAATGATCAAATAAAACTTGACTTCCTTCCATTTCTATAACTCTATATCTCTTTCTCTATTTATTTTCACCTCAGAATTTCCCGACATGGATTTCCCACCTAACACTGGATACAATAAATCAGTCAACAAACACAGAGGGCGAGTTCAAAGCAGGTTTAATCGCATTATAAGTTTCCATACAGTTCATTTACAAGTCTAAGCATTTCTGTTGTTGAATTGCCCCATTTTCATTCTTATCGTCTCCGTGCAGGGTCATCATGAATGACACAGCAAACACAGACGATGAACACAAAGCCTATTTCCTTCCTGACAAACCCATACAAATTTGAAATCCACGGTTAATTACATGTTAACTGAACAAGGGGAATCCATCTTTCAGACCTTGTTCAGAATCAGAATCAGAATCAACCTTGTTGTTACATAAATGCCTTTTAAATTTCTCACTGTACTGAGCGCAGATGTCTCAGCAAAAAAAATATCAACAGTTCTCCCCTGAAGTGAAAGGTTTTCTCTGAAGAAAAGCACCGTTCTCCCCTTTGACCCTCGTGTCGTCTCCTTCCAGGTCACTCAGGACAGGTCTCAGCACAAAGGCTTGCTGTGCCTCATGTTATTGGCACAGGTTCGGCCCACGTTTACCCCCTCCAGGAGCAGGTCGGAGAAGCGGTCCAGGCCGAGGCAGGTGGTGAGCGGGCTAATGAGGCCATAGAGACCGCCCAGGGCGATGCTGAGGGGCCAGCCGATGCACAGCAGAACCACAAGCCAGACAATGCACCAGAAACATGACCCACAAGTGGCCATCCTAGACTGGGAGAAAAAGAGGAAGTGAACAGTTGGAGGATTTAACTCATGGTGAGCGTTATCTCTTGAGTAAAGTAGACTTTCGGCTTAGGGCTGAATACAAAGAAGAAGAAGAAGAAGAATATAAAAATACTTCAGAAATATTCCTCGTCATTAGTGAGCTGTTATAGTCATTGCTTTTCAAAGCTCTGATTATAGCAGTAGAATAAAAAAACTAAAAAAACTAATGTTGCTCTTTTACTTTGAAGACATCTTGCCAAAGAGGAAGTGATTCATGAATGTTGTTGTAATGACGGAGATCAGCACCCGTGACTCCAATATGAGAAATAGTCAAATTATCTGGTGGGGTGGGTCAGTTTATCAGAGGACGTAGAAGAAGACAGCTACAAAGTGCTGGTCACCTTTTTAATCAAGGTTTCATTAGTAGTGAATATTATTATTTTATTATTATTATACAGACTTTGAGGAATTTGTAGGTCGATATTTAGCTATTTATCAAGTGTTTGTCATTCTCTGCTTATAAAGACGAGGTTGAAACCACAACCTTCACTCAGGGGCAAAAATCCGACTTTAAACTTAAAGAAATATTTGCCCTAATACTTCTTGAGATTGACTGATATGAACATTTTTATCTTGATATAAGTTTTGTCCATATAATCCAGCTCTTACACAGTTAATACTGAAAACTGAGTTGGAGTTTGAGAGGGAATCTGGCAAAGGAACACGCTTGATCATGGATGACAGCGTGTCAGTGACTACAACTGCACGAGAGTGTTCCTGCGAGCGGCCGTGCCTCCTCAGCGATGATGAGAGATTATCAGATTGAAATGCGCCCTGTTGATGATCTGCATGTACTTGTCAGGATTATAGACAGTGGCCTTGACAAAGCATGATAAGCTGGCAACCTCAAGCAATAACCACCAGGCCGCCCACTTACACGGTGTTGAAGACCGGCGGTGGCACCTTAGTCACCCACTAATAGCAGATCAGCAGAGATCATGCATAGTAATGAGCATTACTTCATCTGTCGACGCTGATAACGAACAGCGGCCGGAAGGATGACATGCTGCTATTTTGAGCAGTTAAAAAAAAAACCTGTTGTATTATCCGCCATGAAAAGCTGCTAATTGGAATCTATGCAATGTGTGAATCCTCACTACCTGATGATTTATGCAAAGTATAGTGGCAAACAGAGTATGTGGAGACTTCTGCTGCAGGGGAAATTTTAGATTTCTAAGAAATGCAATATTAAGTTAGTTAAAATCCTGCAGAAAAATCGGCCCTGAGGCTCAGCCTGGAAGTTGTAGATTGTGCAGCTGATGGTTTTCAGGAGTGTAAACGTGTTGTGCTCTGTCACACAGATTCACCGAGCCTGTTAAGACACAATGGTCACATCCTTGCTCCCTTGCAGGCTCTGCACTGTTGTGACGATGTGTAGTTTAATTTCCTGTTGTGACACAACTGTCACGTAGGATTGGACAATATATTACACATCCAACACGAGTGTGCACCTCGGTCGATCCCATGCTTTTGGGAAACGCCCTTAAAAAAAAACATGTCAGGCACTAAACCACAATTATTTTAAGAGCAGAATAACATCACACAAGCATAAAGCCTGGACTCTTGACTTCTGCTTTTTGTCTACACACGCAACATTCTTCCTGTTGCTCCTTCTAATGACTGAGAACCAGAATTTATTTTTTAGACATTTTTTTAGACAGCTTGAAATACAAAAAAAAAGCTCTGGTATCTGCAGCACAAGTCATTTTTACGTGGTAAGTAGTCAGCACACAGAAAACAGTAACGTTTAATCTTTGCTCAGATACTTTAGTTAGTTATCCTGCATGCTGTTAGTCCCTGAGACATCCACCCAATGCACAGGTTAAAAGTGAGCACTTTGCAAAGTAGCTATTAACCTAATGAATACCTGTCGTGTGAGTATAAAAGACATGTTCACCTTCAGCAGAGAGAAAAGGCTCTAGAGTGAGACGGCTCCCGGGCTCCTTCTCGTTTGTAGCTTTTATTTCCCAGTGTCCAAGATCCTGTGTGAGACTTTCTACAGATGCTGTGTGTGTGTGAGCACTGGCCACTTCCCACCAGTTAGCTCTAATTTGCCACAAGCTCCAACTGGCAGCTGAATTACCAAGAGCCCAGCGGAGGAACAAAACTCAAAGTTAGTGACTGGGAGGTTTTTAAACAGAGGGGAGGATATTACACAATGCAAACATTCATGTGACTCGAGGAAAAGTCTGCCGGGTGTCACGGGTTGTTAGAGACAAACATATGGTTGGAAAAACATCTGCGTTTGTGTTATTGAGGCATTTATACGTTTATTGTGGTAGAGTAAAAATTACGACATTTTTAAGCGTCAGGTGATGCAGTTACATCGGTCACAGTCTTGTGGGATCTCTGCCAAACCTTTTGTGAGTAATTCATACTTGCAGCCTCAGCTGACAGAGATTATCTCCCCTTATCTAACCTCTCTCATTCTAATCCTTTCCTCAGCCAACAGAAACAGAGCCTACTACTCCAAAACACTCGCGTGAGCCGTGCTCTCAGAAGATAAAAAATAAAAAGAGATTACACGACTCCATACTCGACTGAAGGCAGAAAATGTGTCTCTGCGTATCCATCAACACATGCTTCTCCATCAGGTCTGTAGACCGGCTCGGGCGAGAGCAGCTGTGCAGCTGACCTGTTCGCTCAGCTCGCCTGAGGTATGATGTAACAATCAACCCCTGGTGCATGATAATGAATGAATTTCCAGTCTGTGTTTTTCGCTGCAGGGCTGTGGACTGTTTTAACCTCTCCATTTTTCTAAGGTGGATTTATATTTAAATAACTTCATCCCATCCTGGTTGGAACTTGGCTTTCGAATGGTTTATTTTTCTCGAATTTGATCCAGCTGATTCTGCGCTGAGCGTTTTGCTGCCACCAGTCCATGCAAAGTTATGAATGACAGAGGATTTGAGGCTCGCTGGTTGAGTGACTGTGTACATCCAGAGGGCAAAGCGAAATCCCCCAGCATGCACACTAGCCCCCGGGTGAAGCGACTGACCTACAATTGCAGCTTAGTCGCAGCTTGTGTAGCTGGTATAGGCCGAGACAATCAGCTTTGAGTTGTGCTTAAAGCAGAGCAGGGAAACAGATGAATGGATAGAAGTATCATGACAGAGATTTTGACACTGTCTGCCAGCATGTGCGTGTGGGAGAGATCTATAGATAAGAGTCTCTTTAAGAGCATTATATCCTCTAGTGGGTGCACGGACACTAAAACATGGCAGACAATGAAGGGTTTCGTTTTTTTAATACAAAGTACTTATAGTAACAAAATCAAATGTTGTAGAAAATGAAACATTATCATCAGGATCTAAAAATTCAGAATCACTGACTCCACACTAATCTTTTCTTAAGGGACAGTCCCTGGTCCCCCAAATAACTGAGGCCAACTATTAGACAGTAGTCCATCTGAAGACTCTCTACTGCTCCTGCTCCTCCCCGCTGTCCTCTCCGTCGCTGTCGCTGTCTCTTCCAGGATGCTCTGGCATCTTTGCATGGCTCTCTGTATCTTCAATCTCGTCCTTCTTGCTCGTGTCCTCAGTTTTTGGCTCTGAGCTGTCTTTTCCTTCTGGGGTTTCCTGCTCCATGGGGGTTTCTTCCTGCGGCTCCATGGGAGTTTCTTCCTGCGACTCCATGGGGGTTTCGTCCCGCGGCTCCACGGTGCTTACAACTGCAGCTTCCTCGACCACAGCGTCCGTCTTGGTTTGTTGTGGAGGCAGAGCCATCGTCTGCTGCTGCTGGAGGGAAAGAAAAATATTCAAAATGTGAAATTAGGGCATTTCTATTAAGATTTTTCATTTGGTAGAACAAAATATCAAATCTACTTGTGCTCTGGGATGAGGAGTATCAAAAAATATCCTATTGATGATAACAAAACTTAATTATTGATATTGTGTCAATAATACACATATAATACCAATCAAGCACCTCTTATTTTTCCATTTGTTTTTGTTGTGATGTGGTTCACAGTCCAACATGGTACATATTATATTTATCATTTATAATCATGACTTCTATGTGCTGAGCATTTCTCTCTTCACTGTGAGAGTGGCGGAGGCGCTGGAGAAGCAGAACCAGCTGTTTTTCTTGCAGCGCTCTCCCTCTCTCTCTCTCTTGTTAGGACCAAAAGTTTTGTCTTTTACAACCATGAAAAAATAAAAAGCGAGCTGACTAAGGAAGCCATGTGTTCTGTCTGCTTATGATCTCCTCTTCCCCGTTTCTGTATCAGCGGGGGACCGACACACAAAAGTCTGAGTGGTGTGTGTGTGTGTGTGTGTGTGTTGGGTGGTAAATGTTGTATGCAGGTGATGCAGATGTGAAACTTTAGCATGAAAAGGTATAATTACATGTTACTACTACTAATAATAATATCTAAATACATTAATAGGAATACTGTCTATAACACTGCGGATCATCTTCTTCATTTGTCTGAAAATTGGATAAAATGTAAAGATGAAACTGAGTCTCTTTCTAAATATTGTAATAATATTGTTATCGTTAATTCTTTTGGCTACGACAATCAATAAGTGAAAACATGCTATTGTGTCAGCCTTCGCAGGGATATGAGGTTAATGTACTTGAGATACCATCAAAGCCAAATGGCTCTCTCTCCCTTGATAGTCTTTTTATTTTGCCTGCCTCCCTCGATCCTGCTTTAATCCTCTTTAAGTGAACACAAAAGACAATAATGTGACACCATATATACCGTTTAAAGTCATTCAAGCTACACACTGAAACACACTTGTTATGCTCTGCTGATGGTCTGGTAATTCTCCAACTGTTCTCTCACAACTGACCCATTTACTCTGCTGCATTAAAGTGTAATGGTTGAAAAACTGGCGACCAGGGAGAAGAGTGAGTGGTTTTAAAGGTACTTCTACTCTTAATGTAACGAGACTAGTAGAGGAGGTTAAATACAATGTAAGTGTGTTTTAACTAGTCTCAGGTGTCTCTTGGCAGTAAAACTATCATGAGGCATGCATGAAGGTTTTGAAATAATTCACACTCTTCATTCTTATAAAGAACAATTTGTTTTACCTGTCTGTATTTCTGCGAGGTCTGGATCATGTGCATGTACGTGTTATACACCAGGTTGGCCATCTCCGGCATGTTCTTGACAATTTGGTCTGGCTGTCCAGAAGCATCTCTCTGAGGGGAAGAAAGAAAAACAAGATCAGTGAGAAACCGATTGTGCTGAATCCATGATGTTTTGTAAAAAGAACGATAATGAAGAATTATATCCGTATCGTTAGCAGTTGTTCCTAATTGTTAGCAGTTGCACCACCTGGTAAACTACTGGTCTGAGGCAAAATGTTCTGGAGACATTAGAATTTACTCGCTTGCTGCAACCTGCTTGTTATCTGAAAACAAATGTCTCACTTGCTGCCTCCAGCTATCACTGCTCACACACACTATCAAAAGGATTTGAGGAGGCAGAGTTTGTAATTTGATCATATCAGTATGCAGACGGAGTCCTGCAGCCTAAACTGGGGAGGTAAGTGAGCAGAATATTCAATCGACTGGGCTGTTACCTCCTAGATACAGGGGTGAAGCTCACAGAGGCCCTTTGGGCATCATGTCAATTTGAATGCGCTGATGGCTCCAGTACTGTAAAAGTTAACTGTGTGTGATTTTATTGCTGTGAAACTGCCAGTGAAGACATCACTGCGTGAATGTGCTCCTCAGTGATTGAGTGTGATTAAGCATCATGTTTTACCGTCTGTCCTCTTCTCTCTAATAGTGCTGTAAACACGTACATGTCCATATGGAGCATTAAGCAGCAGCGTTGTCCTTTATTTGTATAACTGCCTCTGAATCGGCATGGCTAAGTAGCATGTGACAGTCCTGGTCTAGTGTTACCAGACGAAATCTGACTTTTGATTTGCATCTGCGTGTTAAGCAGCAGGGGTTTACTGACTCCGGATAGACGGGCTAAGCAGGGGCCACATGTGTGTGCCCAAAACAGCTGTCCCCTCTGGGAATGAACACTCCAGAGTCAGAGGAAGTGTCACAGGCTGTGGGGTATTTTAGACACCCCTGTTGCCACACACGCCAGTCAGCGAGACACAGTGACCAGACAACAGTCGTCTTATAGTGGCCCTGGCGGGATTTGGGAGAGTGGTTTTGCTTTCTGACCTTTGGGGTTTAATTATAGCTGGGCCTGTGTTTCCCATGCCTGCAGATGGCCCGTGCAGAATGCTGTTAACAGACCAGGGCCTATGGGTAAAGCTGCAGTAAGACTTGGGACCAGAGAGGACCAAGAGGAATGAGGATGCCATTCAGAATATAGAGGCAGGATTAGATGGAGTCATGGGTCTGTGGCAGCAGTAGTAGTGTAGTGAGATGCTGTAGAGGGCAACAGTTTTATGGAAATGGCCCCTGGTGTAGAAGTAAGCTTGGTTCTTATCTACAAACCTGGAGAAATTAATTTGATAAGATTATTTTCCTTCAACAAACTAGCGCGTGCATGCATGTGTATTTACGTACAGGCTGTTCCTGGCTGTAGTACTCGTGCGGTCTGATGTGCAGCTGCAGAGGTCTGGCAGTGAGCTGGTTGAAGGCAGGAGTCAGCTCGAAGCAGTTTTGGAACAGGGACACCCGTGCAAAGATGTACAGACCCAGTCTGGCTCTTGACATGGCAACCACCAGACGCCTCACATCCCTGTGGGAAAAAAAAAGTTGAAAATTGGTTTGACAGGAGGAGGGGAGAAATTTCAAAGAGAAGTGGCAGAGGTGGGGGAGGAACGTGTGAAATTGTAAGAGGAGAAGAAATGTGTAGGGGGAAGAAAACAAAAACTGAATTAACAGGAATCAAGTGAAGACTGTTAAGAAAGGAAAAGGCGCGGTAGTGTAGGAGGAGAGAGGTTTAGTGTGAGATAAGCAGCGATAAAGAAAAGGGAGGCAAAGGGCAGGGATCAACAGCAGCCAAAGAGAGGGAGAGGTGGAAGGGTGCAGGAGAGGGGCAGATAGGTAAGTGTTTCTTGCCAACTAGTAGAATTAAGAGATTAGAGACAGAGGAGTCGACCTGCTTGACTCGTTGTAAAATCCAAAGTGGTTGTTTATCTGCCCCACTGTAGAGGAATGCCACTGAACATCTATAAACACAAGTTAAAGAGCTTTGCTCAAGAAAATAGATACGTCGTTTTCAAATGATGAAACCTCAGTGAGTAGTTTAAAAAAAAAAAAAAAAGGTTTCTTCATATTGTCCCGCTTTAAATTTTTGTTAGACTACCCCCCATGATTTCCAATGGTACTGCTCTGCTCGTCTGATTCCTCCATGTCAAAAGACGACCACTGCCATATACATATCTAACGTTGAGCATAAATGAGCCTTTAAAGTTGCAAACAATAGACATTCAGGAAGAGAGACAAACAGTATTCACTAAGAGAACCGATGACAAAGAAGGTACCTGTCAATGTTTTAGTACGTAATACATCTTCGTATTGTGTGTTTTAGGTGTTGGTATGGCCCATCTAATGGAGCTGTGCAAAACATGACCATTTAGATTGCCTATAAATCTACACTGAGAGAAAAGCAGGGCCGCAGAGCATTGAAAATAGAAGAGCATTGAGGGGGAGTGAGTCTTTGGTTTACCCGAGCAGCTCCGGTGATGTTGAAAACAGTCGTAGGTTTGATGTGGTTTGATTCGACACACGCTTATAGAAATACACTAACATTAACACATACAGTGAACACTGACATGCAGCCAAAAAAGTCCACCCTTGCACTTCATGAGATTAAGAGGATTAATTCTTGCACTGTGGATGATGACTTCCATGAATATGGAGAAGAGAGAAAAAAAAACGGCTTATGGAAACTGTTGTGCAGAGTTAACGTGTACATCCTACAGATTTGTGTGAGAGCTGCTGCACATTTGGAGCGACAGACACTGCATGGTGGAAAAGCAAACTTCAAAGCACAACATTTCCACAGAGACAAACTACAACAGCCTAGAACCAATGAGCACGCAGCTCTAGTGGAGATGAACCAATCATGAAGCATGATAGCCTGTGGACATGGCACAAGTGAGAAACGCCCACCTGGGCTGTGCTGTGACATGGCAGGGCAAAGTGGACGAGTACCATTTGTGTATGTGTGTGTTCCCACATGCGAGTGTGTGTACATGTCAGAGCGTGTCTGGATCTGTGCTTCCTTGTCACAGTGTGTGCTCCTACATGTGAGCGTGCCTGTGTGTATCAGCAGGAATGCCTCTCCTGTCAAAGCAAGGGGTCAGCTCATCATATGGTCAGCTGTGTCCCCTGTGGTTGTCACGGCAACAGATTGCCATGAGGAGAGATGCAGGAGGAGGAGGTAAAAGTCAGTGGTATGCCACCGTCATCCCAGAAGGTGAAAAACACAATGGAAAGCACAAGAATTTCCCATGAATCACTGCTCTTTGAACCACTCAACCGCCCATTCAGACGATTCAAGGAAACCAAGATATGAATGAACATTAAGATAGAGCATAGATATGAAAAATGGGATTAAAAGACATTCTTTAGGTATTTCAGTCTCTCTGGTATCTAAGGGGAAGTGTACTGGTTTTACACATAAAGATCAATGTACAGGTCTTGGGCAGGCCTACCTTTGTTTGAAAGACAGAAGCATTAAGTCTAATAAATTGCATTCAGTGTCACTGGAGGCTCAGTTTGTTGGTGCTGAAGACTTAAAAAATTGGGGACAAAAGTCTGGGGGTGTATTAAAGTTGCATGCAATACACAGAGACAGACAGTGTTGGACAGAAGCCATACAAATGTGCTGTTTCATAAAGTGAACCATTAAAAAAAAACAGTGTGTGAGGTGTGAACATAGAGCTGATGTGACTAAACAAAATCTTTAATTTAGTTTCAAAATTCTGCTCTTTTTTCAGCTTGTACATACACAAGACGAAAGAGCTTTCAGTAAAAACCCTTTTCAGGAAGAAGACAGCATCTATTTAACATATTCTCTCTCTTGTAACCACGACTGTTCAAACCTAAACAGATAAGTGTGTGTTCATATAGGAGCCTGGGGACACTGAAGATCCCTCACAGGGCCTGTCCTGGGTAAAAATCCCCATCAAAGTGAATAGAAACTAAAGTACTGTCCTATCCCCCATCATTGAATAACTGCAAATTGTTAAAAGGATGTCTTTGGATGTGCAAAAGGCAGGGTTTAATATCCAGTGTAAGACAAGATCAAGTGAATGATGCTGAGAAGAGAGCAGGCGCTGCTGGAAAGATAAATGACCACTTTCTGGGGCCCACTGCACTTTTCATTCCCAGCGAACACCAAGTTATTGCTTCATCTAGTTTTTAAATGTTTTTCTCTGCCAGCTAAAACTGACCATGTTCACAGGTCGGGTGTGTGTGTGTGTGTATGTGTGTGTGTGTGAATCTAGCTACAAAAGGAATGAGTTATTATTCACACTGGGGTTCCAATTTGCAGACTGTCCAATGTGAGGACAGATGAAGGCGCTGGCGGTACAGCTGTGAGCTGTGCAATTCCAACCGCAGCTACTGTACATCACAGCCAGAGGCCAGCGAGCCGAGCTTGAAGAGCTGTGGAGCAGTTCGACCTCAATTGTCTGGTATTAAAACATGCAGCGATTTAAGTGTGAAGAGCTCATTGGGATCTCATGGCAGCTGAGGAGTGAAAGGCCATTTGACTACAAGTCAATTCAGGGAAATGAGGAAGGAGGCGGCAGAGAGGAGACGAGGGAGCGGAAAGATAAGGAAAGCGAGTTGAAGACTGTGAAGAGAGACCAGCAGGGGAGTACAGTTAAGCAGAGAGCTATGGGGTGTGGAGAGAAAGACATAAAAAAAATTCTGCTGCAGTTTGGTTAATAATCATGTATCTTAATCGCTCTTATATGGTTTGACTTGGTTCAGAACGGAGCTCTTTGTTTGATATTCTCAACCCAATCATCAGAGCACAATAGCTTCTCTTACCCAGGACAAAAGGTGGAGTTAGTTCCACAGACATGATCCTGTCCTGAGGCCCCATTTAGAGTCCCTGCCTCAAATTTAGCTCATACATAGTTCAAGACAGGGAAGAGTGTTATTGTTTCTAGTCTTTTAGCAAACTGCATTCAGTAGTTACACATCACAAAAGAGAGAACGCCTCCTGAGAGCAGCAGTCTCAGGAGAGTTACGTGCCTACATTTAAGCATGGGGCACTTTCCTGGAGGATGTGTTTGTTATGTGAAGATCTCAGTACACAAGTATGTTTGCAGAAGAGTAGCTGCTGATGGTGTCTATTTTTGGTTACGTTTTTCTGCTTGGCATGCATCGAAGTAATTACCTCAGGTGTCCCACGGCTTTGGTGCGAACCAGTGAGAGGATGATGTAGTCATTCTGCTGACCCTGGAATCTGTCCACCGTTGTCACCTGCATGGACAGAAAAATACTCATTGTTGGACAGAAACATATCATCAGATGTGTTACCTAAGCTACAGCAGTGTGTATGGGTTTGCGTTTTAGTTGGTGAGAGGATTTAGTCGAAATGTTCAGAAACATGAGCGAGACTGATTTCCGTCCACCAGTGCCTGTGTTTTCTTGTTATTGCCGTTATCGCTTTGGGCCACACGGGCAGCCGGCAGGGTTAATACGGCTTAGAGTGCATTTGCCGCCACTAGCCTCTTACCTGGGCCCCGGAGACCTAGGGCCACGGTACTGGGGGTGATGCTGCATGACTGGATCAGAGCTTATTTCAGAGAGACAGAGAATGGAGGAGAAGGCTCTCTGTGGGATTTTTTCATTCAAAGCAAGGGGAAATTTGTGTCAGCCAATTTGCCTTTAAACCCTGGTAATCCGGTCTTGTTCAGAAGTGTACTTATTTCCATACATGAAGAACAGAGATGTGTTTTGACTCTGTCAGTACTGTCACACCTTACATAATAAAGACAAAATACTGCACTTGCACTTGAAACTTGGTATGTAGCCTGTAAACAGGGATGCAACAGTAAAAACTGAACGCACTCACTTAGCCACAAGAATAAAACCTTACACTGGTACTGGTAACAGGCCTTCTAGTCCATCCATAATTGAGTTGCCTACTTGGAAGGGCTACTTTGAATGCCTTAGGTTCCAGGAGTGAAAGCCCTGTTGTTTTTCCCACTAACATTGTTATGTGATTCACGTGACTTTGGAGCATTTCTAAATCTTGGATTGGTAGAAAACGTACTCAGTCAAACAGTCGCAACAAACGCTGGGTAATAAAATATTTGTTAGCTACAGCTCCCAAGGTGCATTTCAACACAAAATATTAGTTTAGATAATTATAGATTTTAAGTCATCTAGCAACAGCAGCCAAGACTTATGGGAAGTCTTAGCTGCTAAGTATTTAGGGCTTTCACGCCCAATGGTAAGAAACCTGATTGCTCAGAAATAAAGTAGAAATTATATTAAAATTGACATAAAGCTATTGCATCATTACATGATCAATGTTGCAAACCAAGAAAAACATGAAATAGGAATATAAAACAGAAAAACCCTCTTGAGAACCAGAATGTCCTCCTACTTAATTTGGCATTGGCATCAAAGTTAAAAGTAGCAGCTGTAAGGTTTTCTCATACTGCATGAGAACAGAGATTACAAAAACAAAACAAGTCCTTTGATTTTATATAATATTACTAGTATCAGGTTATACAGGCTACAGGCAGAGAAATTCAAAGCCATGCAGAAAGAGGCTGCCTTTCCTCTGAAGATCCATATGCTAGAGTGGATCAATAGAACGTCAGCTACCATCGAAAAGCCACACAAGCCCAGGAGAACAGCAACCGACCTGGAGCTAAATAAAACATGCGGTGGTCATATTCACAGTCCTTTAATTTTCAGTCATCCTGGATCCCTTTGCTGAATTTCCCAGAAACCACTTTTGGGTAAAAAAGAAGGCAAAATGGGGGAGTGTGTGAATGTGTGAAATGGAATGCAATGGGGCTAACGAGGTAATACACCAATATTTATTTAGGTCTCTCTGTTGCTATGCAGAACAGGTGCAGCACCAGAGGCAACAATATGTCGGTTTTACAATAGCATGAGGCGTCGAGGACTGTATGTACACGTCAAAGGATAAACGTTGAAGTCAAACAGCCGTGATACACATGCATGCACATGTCCACACAATTGTGCCATATGCAGACTTTGCTGAAGGACGCTACAACTATGGACTTACAACTACAACTGCATGGTTTAAACTTAGACAGTGCAGATTGTTTTGCAGAGAACCAGAGGGGGGGGTTATTATTAGCCCACAGTGGCAATGAAGGCCGGATAGAGAATCTCCCCAAGGTGTAGCATTTTGCATGGTGTTTAGTTATTTATGAGGAATCTTCCAGGGAGTGAATTACAGAGGTCATGTCATTGTGGAACATTTGTGTCTGTGAATACAAGGAAGCACACAAACACACACATGCATGTTGTTATTAGTGGAAGTTGAGAATCATTTTCATGACACTATCTCTCAGTTGATGTTCATTTTTGTATCTCCCCTACTTTTGTTCTGTTACTCATTCTTGCATCGCACAGTGGTATACACACAGGTCCCACTGCAGTAGTATCAGGGACTCGGGGATGGCATGTCTCAGGATTTCATATCTGTCAAAAAAGATATGCTGGGAGACTTCAAGAAGGCATGTGTCCCATCTATGTCAACATTTAATTCTAACACGTTCAGGCCACTCAGCGGAACTTTGTTTACTGTTCGGAAAGTTCCTGCTCTCAGAAAATGAAAGAATTGCACAGAAGGGATGGGCTGTGTGTGTGTGTGTGTGTGTGTGTGTGTGTGTGTGTGTGTGTGTGTCTGTTCAGCCATGTGAATTAGTAAAGGGAGGAATGCAGAACATCCTTCCTCTCTTCTAATTCATCTCTCCTTGAACATTGACGTGAATTTAAACTAACTAATGAAACAACTCCATCGCCTGTGTTTCATCACTTGCTTTCTCTGAACTTCCGTGGCAACAACACATGAAACGACTCTGAATCCAGTTTGTATTTATGTGATTAAGTTTTGTTTAGTGACATGAACAAATAAATACTATCCAAGTGATAAAAAAGTAAACCTAAGTGTACTTTCTCCAAAATTTCAAGAGCACACTAAAAAACATAAATGCAAATGTGTTGGTGCATAGCTGCATGCATGTGAGTGCCAACTGCTGTATTTGGGATTCAGCTAGTGTCTTAATTTGAGTTTGAGACCTGACTGGTGCTAACTGGCCCTCCTTAATTAAAGTCATGACAGCAAAGGGAGCTGGCTGTTGACATTTTCTTGGTTTTAGCCACTGTGACACATTGTCAGACACACCGGACCCAACGCTCAGCGTGATGACCTTTCAGCGGCTCAGCGTTTTCCCACAAGAGTCCCTTTCTCTTTGTCATCTCTCCCCTTCTCTGGCTATCTTTCTTCTCAGCAAATCTAACAGCCTGTCACCCCTGTCACTTTATTGCTGGGCATGCATACTGACTCAGGCCACGAGCACACGGAATAATGCTTTATGTCTTAACGTTGCAGGACATCCAACATGACCAAGCACAGTTTTCTGGCGAGCTGTCACAACGGGGAATACACAAGGCAACAAGGTGGGGTTGCAAATAACAAAACACAGACACAACAATAGGAAGGATCATTAAACACTCCAACCCTGCAGGTGGTACAATGCACCATTAACTTAAAACTGCAAACTGTTAACACAAATCACTTGGACAATTTGTGAAAAGCAACTTGCTGAAATGTTTTTTTGTACCTTAACACGTAAAATTATAAATCTAGATTTTTAGTATTGTCAACAAGCAAAACCAACAATGAATTGAGCCTGATACACTTCCTCTGTGCAACCGATCTCCAACCATCAAAAGTATAGAAATATATACAACAAGTAGATGTTTGTAAGCCATTTTGAACAATTTGTTAAAAAATCACAATGAATGGGTTTAGGGTTGCTTGTCAGTGTAACAAATACTGAGAGACAGACTGATGCATTGTTGGTCTTCGTCTTCTTATTATATTTGTTACACCACACGGTATGGAAAAACACATTGCTTTATCACTCACACTTAAGAAGCAGTAAAAATATGCAACATCTCTGTCACTATGAAACAATTATACAAAAAAAATGATACTGGTGCCATTTTCACTCAAATCTCACAACTTTCTCTGGAAATCCTAGATAGTCTGAGACATTGTTAAGTCTGTGAAAGAACCAGGAGCAGAAGAAAGGTGAGCATGTGGGTAGAGAAAAAGAATGAAGACAGGAGAAAGAAAAACTGAGGCCAGCGGGTAAAAGTATTTGGCAGTACAAACAGAACAGTGATGGGAAACTGTGCCAGCGTTTTGCTGACTTAACACCGTGTAAAGGAAAGAAAGCAAGTTCAGGGGAATAATGTGGGCTGGATGGAGACAAAACTCAACAGGGATCCTACAGGGATGAACGCAGCTCAGAGTTTACACCCACTCTCTAAGCATCCAGGCTCTTTGAAATCATTTCCTCAAACACACACACATGAATCTGCACAGCTATCTTTGTTAGGACACTGCATTGACTTCCATTCATTGTGGACAACGTAACCAAAACCTTATCCCTAACTTTAACCATGACCGATTCATTCCTAACCCTAACCTCACCACAATTCACATCATAGCCCAAACCTTAACCAGGATCTCAGGCATGACATTTAGCCTCATTAGGCTTTGGTCCCCTTGAGGTCTACTGGCCCTGACAAGGTCAGTGTTTATACTAGAAAAACATCCTTAAGAGGCTAAAACAAATGAGTGTACACACTCTTTACAGAGGTATGCAGTTGGCTGGTATGTAATCTGTTGCAGAGAAGAGAGAGCGCAGCAGTGTCCTGCTCTATTTGGGTCTTATGACCTGCAGCAGTCTTAACGGTCTCATGATTTGATGAAGCTGGACAATGAATGCCATGAGGAAATAAATTTGCTTTGCTTAAATCTAAGTAGCAAATCAAGAATTTTCATAAGCAACTTATTAATCTTCCATGAGACCGATGTAGATTTGCTTACATCAAAAGATTACTGTGTGTTACAGTGCAAGTATGAAGACTTTCAAATCTACTTAAAATGCCAAAGATGTTATGAGTGATAAAAAAGTTATCCAGAGAAAGCAGTAGTCCTGTAAGAATTGATAGCTGTGGATTTCTCTCTCACAGTAAAAGAGAATAACATGCGGGTGTATTGACAGCAGCTGACATCTAGAGGTGTGAAGAAACTGTGCTCATGTGCGTGTCATGTGTATCAGGTTAGTCTGACTCCCACACACATATAACATATAGAGTGAAAACACATCTGTTGGGACTGTGGATTCCTTCTTGACAGAAGAGGAAAAAAACGTGTCATACTCATGTGATTAGGAGCAGACACATACATGTGGAATCGGGTGTGTTGGTGAGCTACACCACTTGTGATTTGGCTTGAATTTAAGTCCTTGGCTAAATGAAGAGACAGAGTATTAATACTTGAAAGACTTCTAAGTATGGTGCGTGTAATGTACAATGATGCTGCTGAAGAAAGTTGCGTACTGATTTAGCCTTCTTACAAAACACTACATGAAACGATTACCACAAACAATTTATTTCACAGGATTCTGCATATTAGTAATTTTCAACTTACACTTATATTTCCTATAAAAAGGCTCCTATAGCATTTCAAAATGATATATTTGATACAATGGACTGCATCCTACTTAATGCATGAATTAAGTGGTGCATGTGTCCTTACCTTGTTAGGCTGTCTGAAGAAGGGATTGCCACCGCAGCGTTGGTTGATGACGTCCCTTATCAGGTGTTTCTGCCCATTGTAGGTGGTGAGGATGCTGATGCGGTCGGCGGGGTAGCCCAGTAGACGCATGTACATGTACAGAGCCACAGCATACTCAGCCTCCCCCAGGTTCTTCGCAGGAGGAGAGAATAGGATAAGATCAACATTACTATATTTTAACAATATAATGTTGTTGGGGACAAAACTGATGCTTGGGAGTTGACGTTAAAAAAATTGTTTTCTATCTGTATGATTTCTGAGTGAAACATAAATACAGGGTTCTCTCTTCCTATCAGCAAATCCAGGGCTGTCTACATGTGTTTGACACCTCACTCTTCACATTCTCTCATAACATCTTGCTCTGGCCCTTTCCCGCCTGTCAAGTGTTTAAATTTCCAGCCAGAAAAAAGCCCGCTCATTCATGCATGAGTAGCAATCTGATCTGGGTTGGAATTAATTGCCTCAGACAGAGCTCAACACCACCACTCGCCAGGCTGGGACAAAATGTCCCATTCCAGGATACCCTACATAGAGGCAGAGAGGATGATAGGCCAATTTTCTAATGTGGTTTCAGTAAGTGGGAAATGGCTAATTGTGTTTTGAGATGTGGGACAAAAGGCTGCATCATCAAACTTTTTGCTACTGATGTGGTGGCATAATGTTGTCAAACTAATATTACTGCATTTTCATATGAATTGAGAAAGACATTCCAAATAGCTCATGCAGGTTGTTTCCACATTCTACATGAAAGTGCATTTTAAAATATAAATGTAAATGCAAATACAGGCGTATAAAATAATAACGCTGTCCTAAATATGTAAATGAGCAAACATGCGTGTACTTTACAATCAACAAATTCCTCAGCATGTGCACGTGCATCATAGCTCCAAGGCTGTACTCTGCCCTTCAAATGTGACCAAAAAAAGAGGGCAACAGTCTGCATTATTCATGAAGTTTCAATTAAGCCTGGACTGTAGCCTCACATCTCTGATAATAATTTATGCAGCCTCATCAACTGTACTGCTGCACTGGAGTCAACACATCAAAAACAGTGACAGCCTTTGTTGCTCCTCATCTGTTACCTGTCTCCAAGTGGCACAAATTCATAATTTTTAATGACCATGCCATGTTTCAATTCTTTACTCAAAGTCTAGCAGCAAACGCCAGGTATGAGTTGCTGTTGTTTTAAATTGAATATATTCAAAATTGATAATTTAAATATTGTATGCATATTAGTGACAAGATGATTGATCTTGTATTTCCAGGTGGTCCTGTGCCAGATTCATGCTTCACCAACAACTAGAGTAAAAAATATTTAAATAGTAACCACTCCATTTATGCTCAGTATACACATATTTTAAGTTAAGAATGTGACTGCATTAAAAATGCAAATAAGGTTGCTTTACAGTTTGGTTGCAGAGGGAAAAAAAAGATCACGAGAACAGTATACATATGCATGAGTCTCCTCACACACACATACACACACACGGAGTGATATCTAAGGAGACATCTGGCTGGCATTTTCAGTTTTCCCTACTTCATGTGCATGTTTAACATAAATGTGATCTAATGCCCTAACACCCCAGAGATCTGGGTAACCATAACAACAAGGTCAGACCCAACCCATAAAGAGTTTGAGCCAGTAGACCGAGGAAAGACGAAGACTGTGGAGGATGAAGGGACGAAAAGGGGGAGAGAGACAAAGATAAGGGAGAAGGAGAGAGAGGCTTGTAGTGTAGATACAAACACATAAGAGGTAAATAAATTCATATCACCCTTGACTACCTGTGAGTAAAGCACGTCATGCCATTTGCTCTTAAGCAATTTGATGTAGCGTAGCAGAGAAAGCTACACTAGCAGGCCTGCCGGCTGAGTAAAGCCTTTTTCTAACAACAGAAGATGTGGATTTAGATAAACATCTACTCTGTAGGAGACATCGGACAACTTTGGAAGTACTAACGGGCTGAGACTACATAAGGAAAGTGCTTTAGTAAATGAGCCAGAGAAGCACGAACAGACCTCTGGACTATGGATTGTCGGTGTACATGTGTGTGCGTGCGTGTGACGGGTGTACAGTTCTTGTGGAAGTGTAAAACAGGGATTTGTGCAGTGTTTGTTCAGCTGTGACAGGCATTCAGCATGCTGTGGATACAATCGCTTCTCTAGTGTCCAATTTATCCCCCTAGTTCCTTGCAAAGTGTGTGTGCGTGTGTGAGGGCATGTCTGTGCACACTCCTATCTTTGTGAGGACCACAGTTGCACAGCGAATTCAGTGAGGTCATTTCTGAAATCTTAGAACATTTTGGTCTCACTGACAAAGCTTCGATGGGGTTTGAGGGTTAAGACTGGGTTAAGGTTGGACATTTAGCTGTGATGGTTACATCTAGGGTAAGGGGTGTGTGTGCTTGTGTGTGTGAGACAGAGTGATTGATACTGGCAATTCCCATGAGGCGCCAGAAAATGGCAACAGGCAAATAGAGTTGAGGCTCATGTGACTTCATGTCTCGAGAAGTGCACATGATTTGGATTTAAAAAACAATAAGTGAAACAGGCATGAGCGTGCACAATGTCCAACACTGCACCAACATGGAGCACTGTGAAAGATTCATTAACTATTTATCTTACAAACAAACTAGTCTTGATTCATTTCTATTAATTTTTTAATCAGACCAATTAATCAGATGCTTCTGGGTTTTTGATTACTTCAACCTCTGTGGTGTTAATTATAAAAATGAAAAATATAAGATAAATCTCCAACAACTAATCTGGTTTATTTTTCCTTCCCAAACAACATTTGGGTTCCTGTGCTGGTGAAGTGCCAAAAAAAAATGTTTTACACCCCACCCCCACCCACACAGTCTTGTGTGTCTCAGCAATGTCACGATGAAACAAAATCAAGTTCCTTGTGTGAAAGACAAACCCACTGGTCTGTGATGGGCAGCCAGTGTTAGCTGCAGACCAAACAGGGTTATGAATATACCATATGGACCAGTAGCCAAACCATTAGATTTTAAAAATGAATGAACCGCTGTGTAGCAGCCAATTCAGAGTATATGGAGGCTGGGGAGGGACATGGTTCTCTGCTCTGATGGAACTAAGTGTGCATGAGTGTGTATTTGTGTAAAGGAGTGAATAAATTGTGTTTGGAAATTGCCACACATTCTGTAACACGAACGATTTCCGCTGCTCCAACTCTGTGTGTGCACCTGTGTGTGAGAGATATACCGAATACTGGATGTTCACAGTTATCTAAACACTTATCAAAACCGAAGCAATACAGAGAGAAAACATTTCTACCTTTAGTTTTCAATTCCAATACTGTTTTAGTAGGTTTTCACAATAATTCATGGTTTTAAGTTTTTAAAAATGACTAATTTTGGTTAATATTACTGTTTTGAGGTTCTAGCAATAGTTACCATTACTATGTTTTCATTGATATTTGTTTCTGTTTGTTATTTAGCAGGATTACGCAAAAACAACCTCAACTCAACCAAGACAGTAGAAAGAATCCAGAGTGGATCCAGGATTTTAAAAGTAGAAAGGTTTGAAGTATACACAGTATACACTAGATTCCATTTTACAAACAATGGTTATGCTGTGTGCAGTGTGTACTACTAACCTGGTAAAAGTAAGGGTTGGGCTCGGATTCACCCACACCATTGAAGTCCTCTACATTAATAAGCTGGAAGTCAAAGGTTAGGCCAGGGTTGGGCACCTGGAACTCAGGCAGTTGCTGGACATGAGGTAGGTTCCCGAGGTGTTTGTAGCGCCAGTTGTACAGATTACACAGGCTGTGAGAACAGGGAAGAAACACTGTTGTCACTAAGAGCTCTTTACCTGGGGGACATCACTGTTCATTAACACACTGCACCACATGTAAAGTAAAAACCATTGTTGTTTTACTGCCACGGCGACCCACCTCGCTCGTGCACGGCCCTGTGCATCCAGGTCTATGGTGGGAACTCCCAGCCGCACAAATCTGGTGAAGAGAGACTGCTCCATGTTGGAGTACTTCTGGAAGGCCATGTTCTTGATAACAGGGGGCAACTGGTGGTGGTCTCCAATCATGATCCAACGCTTCAGTCTGCTGTAGCCATCCTCCGGGTTCTGTAGAGAGAGAAAAAAAACACCTGTTAGAGACAATACTAAAGTGAAATGAGTATGAAGGATGTTTGCATGAGAGAGAATAAGACTCCTTGAGACTCAGTAAATATCTTTGCATTTTGCACAATATAGGTGGTGCTTACAGCCTCGCTCCAGGGTGAGAACATGTTGAGTGAAAGATCGCAATATAATTGGATGTACAGATGATTGATAGATATTTCCCTTTCTTCTGACAATTGAGGGTGCAATCCTGTGGGCTTTCACAAAACCTAAGTATTTTTTGTGTAAAATATTAAAGGAAGAACTTAAAATAAGTAGTAACAGTAGCTGGACCCAAGACGACAGGGTGAAAGGCCTACATTTTGATTACTCACTCACCACCACTGCTTCCAACTCCTTCTGTGTTCTAAGACAGACTAATTCCAAACTAAGGAAAACACGATTTATGATTGTCATTTTCCTTTTCTACCAATTAATTGACCCCAATCTTAGACACTGGCAGTGATGCAGTAACATCAACAGCATAGTCTATTTTACTCGTGTATATTATACTGCCAAATCTTGCTAATTAAACATGATTTGGCTCTTGACCTCAATCAAATCTGATACACCAAGCCTTATAAGTCAAGAGCTGATTTAATCACTGAAATCACAGATGAGAGATGATTGACTGAATAATGACAAGGGAAGTCGAGGAAGAGGAATAAATAGTTTAACCGTGACGTACACCTGGCAGAAGGCTCCGGCTATGGCTCACTAGAGAAGAGAGATAAAGAGAGGAGCTCTGGCGAAGTTGTTGGATGGGCTGATGTGCTTAACGACCTCATCTGTAAACAGACATCAGCACTATCTCGGCCAATTAGGCACAACTACCAAAGACAAGCACCATTAATGTGTTTGGAGTCCATCAGTCAGATCTTAACAGTGCAAGTTAGGTAGTAGAACACTGCGTCACAAGTTAACGATTAAACTACACTTAATGTGGAAACTTACTACAGTACCTCGGGTTTGGCAGTGAATTTTCAAGCAGGGCATTGATGTAGATCTCAGTTGTATCCGTTAATCAGGCACATATTAAGTCAAAGTTTCATGACTTATTCATGAGAGGCTTACCTGTAACAATAGAGGGATGAAGGTCTCGATCTCCAGAATCTGAGCAGCTTCTTCCATCAGGATGTTGTCATACTAATGAAGAGAGTCAGAGATGTAACTTAACAGAAATACTGAAAGTAACGACAGTAAAAACAAGCTCACACAGGCTCAAACAGGCTGTCAAGTCTTTGTGTCAGTGAGAGGAGTCTACCTTAAATCCCAGCTCCACCAGGTCGTGGCGTTTGAGTGCAGCATGTGTACAGGTCATAGCGATGATTTTGGCTTCCTTCACTAGCAGGTACTTGGAGCGGTCCAGGCCACTCCTCAGCAGCTCAAAGGCCCTAAACTCCTTTAAGGGTAGAGAAGAGGAAAAGAGAAGGTAAATCACTGCAATGAAAAACTTACAATACCATCAGAAAAGAGGTGCCTGGTAACCTACTCTGCCTTTTAATGAAACATATTAATATAACCCCTCTGCATTCTACTCTCATTAGGAGACACAGGCTCGGTTCAGACAACACCTGTCATTAGAATGAGTCTCCACTTGTGGCCAGATCTCACTTCCCTGCTCTAAATGCAAATTACACTCATCATTGTTGTTCACCTTGACCAAATGATGTTTTTAGGATGGAGAGAATGAGAGAGAAATTATATGTGGCAGTCAACGGTAATCAGTGTAGCCCAGGACAAGTTTCTGTTCACACAGCTAAAAGACTACATGCACCCCAGACCATGTCTGAGTGCGGTGGATCTCAAATGTCCCCAATGCATCCTGTATTTAGAGCTGTGTACTCGTAATTGGATCACCTGAGACGGATGTTAAATTCAGGTCTAAGCAGGGCCATTCTCCTCCTTTCCCATGATGCAGATACTGAGACAACCACACAGGGCTGCTCTGCAGAGACTGTACTAGTGTAGTTTGCTGTTCAATAACTGCACCTTAAGGAGAAGCGCAGCATGTATCTTCTTACATGCCTTATACTGGAATGGAAAATCAAAGACCAGTTGTTTTTTTTTTTTACCAAATACGAATCAGTTCGCCTCAGAAAGTCGATCATCATGGCGGTGTGAAAACCACGCTGTTGGGGGGATGTGGGTATACAGGCGTTCTATTTTCACAGTGCTACACTAGCTGTACACAGGCAGCAAAGGAAGAGGGAGGGAGGATGGGAGAAACAGACTCGGACAGCACTGAGACATAAATATTTGATGAGTTACAATTTTAGCACTATATTAAACCAATCAAAAGATAAAATATTGATGGGGTCTATTTTTAACCCTCATGGCTCCAGAGCGGTTGAAGGGTGAAATCAAGATGGTAGATATTCAGGGACACAGAGAGGAGAGAGAAGAAAAAAAGTAAGTAACGGTAAAGGTGTGGTGGGACTGCAGAGGAGGAAACAGGAGATGTTTATAGACAGGAATCTCAGGAGGCGCACCGTGTGCCTTTCTGTCGAGCAATACATTCTTGGGATATTCCTATGACAGCTTATTCCAGACTGCTTTTACTTTTTGATAAGCAGACAGATAAGCAAATTCAGCAGGAAGTTGCTTCCCCTGCCCTGCACCACTGACAGCAATACCTCTTAATGGGTGTACAGATTTCACTGCAGCATGGGTGAGGCTCAGGGAGGAGGGAGAGGTGCTGTGATGCAGTGATACAGAGGCCAGCCAGATAAATCAAGGTCACCACATGTGTTGGGATATTACCCCCAGCCAATAACTTCTTTATTGCTTTTCAGAAACCTCCTTGGTGTTCCCATAAATCGGAAATGTTATTGTTATCCCTATAGAAATCTAGGAATGATAATGTGCTTGAGTGTGAAAAAGTAGTCACATTCTTCTCCATTTTTGTGTTGATCATCTTTTCCCAAAGGGTCATCAAACATATATGTATAATATAATACTGTTCAGTATCTTAAATTACTTAAAGTGGCAGAGAATGTTCAATATCTGGACAATCTGCTGGCAAACAGACCAAATACAGCTGACAAATTCTGTGTGTGTGTTTGAGTCAAAAATAGGAAAGGAAATGTTTACTTTCGATTTGACATCGTGTGTTAACGTGTGCTGCAGTGAATTTTAGCGTAAAGCAGGTTGAATTTAACTGTATTGACATGCTCTATAAATAAAATTGCCTTGCCTTATTGCAGTCAGGTAACTTTGTTACATCCCGCTGATTGTCACTCAGTGGGGGAGTGTGGGAGTGTGTGTGTGGGTGTAAGTGTGCATGTTCTTACTTCCAGCTGGGTAAATATTTTCTTGATGTGGCGGTAGCAGCCCTCTGCAATGTCCATGTCCTCTTCATACGACCGGCCCTTGAACACAGGCTGTGGGGCGTTAGAGAAGTACTTGTGGAAAGGGAAGAATGAAGCCACAGCCTCCACCTCCACTGTCTTGCCCTGTTTAGGTTTGACTTTGCTCATATACTGTTCCCAGCGAGATATGACCTGTAGTGGGCAAAGAGAGCAGACATTAGGTGTTTTCACATATGAACTCCTGACAGTGTCCTGACTCGGTTCTCTGGATATTGCCCTTTTCCAAATGCAGGACACAAGCGGTGATCGTCTGTGTGACAAGTGGATGGAAATACTCTGCTTGTGAAGCATGCAGGAGAAATTTTAAAAACATCACTGGCAAGTTTTATGTGCTTTCAAGGTCAATATCGATATTGGGTATTAAAATTAGCAGTACCCACAGTGCAGCCAAAAGAAAAATCCCATTCATTCCTAAGATGTTATTATAAAA